GACAGAGTCTCACCCTGTCACCTAGTCCAGAGTGCAGTGGCGCGATCTCGGCTCACTGCAAGCTCCGCCTCCCGGGTCCACGCGATTCTCCTGCCTCAGCCTCCCGAGTAGCTGGGAATACAGGCGCCGCCACCTCGCCCGGCTAGTTTTTTGTATTTTTAGTAGAGACGGGGTTTCACCAGGTTAACCAGGATGGTCTCGGTCTCCTGAACTTGTGATCCGCCCGCCTCGGCCTCCCAAAGTGTTGGGATTACAGGTGTGAGCCACCGCGCCCGGCCTGTATCCTCTTTACTACTGGAAACTAGGCCCTTAGTGTGTCTAAATCTAATAGTATTAGAGAACCAATTCCGGAAGTCCCAGAACCAGTGCAGAGAACTCATCTGTAAGACCTTCCTCTGCAACAACTTCCGGCACCAAAATGTGTCAGTTGGGCTGATCTAGAGAAGCGAACCAGTGGGAGATAAAAGAGATTTACTATCGAGAACTGGCTTCCGTGCTTGCAGTGGCTGACAAGACGTGTCTCAGAAGATTGTGAGTGGCGTGGAACTTTGCTGGCACATTTCCTGTCCACTTCAGTGTCTGCGGAGGTGGCCAAGGGCTGATGCCCCTGCACTTTCTGGAAGCCTCAGGTTTGCTTTTGAAGACTCTGACTGCTCTGACCTCACTCATGCACAGATACACACTCGGCTTTTCAGGTCACACTTCTGGGAACAATCACTTATTCTTAGCATCTTTTGCCATCTGGACAGGATGAAAGTTTCCAAAATCATCAAGGCCTAGTTCCTTTTTAAGAGTGCTCCCCTCAGTCCCTCCTTCTGCTCACATTTTGCCATAAGCAGCAAGAAGAGACCAAGCTGCATCTTCCACAGTCTGGAGATCTCCTCAGCTGAACACCCAGGTTCACCTGATTAACTCTCTGTCAGACAGCAGGACACAGCCCCATGGCGTCTCCCGCCACCGCCTAGCAGGGGCCTGTCTCCCTCCACTTTGTCAGGACGTGCTCCTCACATCCTCTGGGCTCTCACCCGGAGTGCTTTCTTTCCTTTTTCTTTTTAAAAAATGTTTGTAAGTTTATTGGTAATGCTTCTTTTGAAAGGTATGGAAAATCAAACTCAAGATATAATCCTTACATGAAACAATTAACTCATCTCTCCAGGAGTCTTAGTAGAAAACACATGATTTGGAAAGATCCTGCAGGGCGCGGTGGCTCATGCCTGTAATCCCAGCACTTTGGGAGGCTGAGGTGGGCAGATCGCCTGAGGTCAGGAATTCGAGACCAGCCTGACCAACATGGAGAAACCCTGTCTCTACTGCAAATACAAAAATTAGCTGGATGTAGTGGTGAGTGCCTGTAATCCCCGCTACTCAGGAGGCTGAGACAGGAGAATTGCTTGAACCCAGGAGGTGAAGCTTGCAGTGGGTCCAGGTAGCACCACAGCACTCCCGCCTGGGCAACAGAATGAGGCTTTGTCTCAAAAAAAAAAAAAAGAAAGCCGGGCAGGGTGGCTCACGCCCGGAATCCCAGCACTTTGGGAGGCCGAGGCGGGCGGATCATGAGGTCAGGAGATTGAGACCATCCTGGCTAACTCGGTGAAATCCCGTCTCTACTAAAAATACAAAAAAATTAGCCGGGCGTGGTGGTGGGCGCCTGTAGTCCCAGCTGCTCGGGAGGCTGAGGCAGGAGAATGGCGTAAACCTGGGAGGCAGAGCTTGCAGTGAGCTGAGATCCGGCCACTGCACTCCAGCCTGGGCGACAGAGCAAGACTATATCTCAAAAAAAAAAATAAAGAAAGAAAGAAAAAAAAGAACACGAAAGCTCTATGGCTTCCCTTCTTAAAAGATGTTCTCTCCAGAAAATGCCTGAAGCTATGTCTCCATCTATGAGATCATTACAGCTGTGAGTCAGGTGGTCACAAACGGGAACACCTGTCTAGGATGTTCACATAAGCAGACAGTCCAGAAAACAAATGAGGGTGAAAATAAAGCTGTACTACTTGTAAAGAAAGTCCTAAAAATACAGAATTCACTAAGAGCTTGGAGCAGAAGACCTAGGAGATAAAAATCAGTGAAAAGTAATTAGAAAAATACTTCACTCTTTGATCGGGACCATCCTGACTAACACGGTGAAACCCCGTCTCTACTAAAAATACAAAAAACTAGCCGGGCGTGGTGGCGGCGCCTGTAGTCCCAGCTACTTGGGAGGCTGAGGCAGGAGAATGGCATGAACCCGGGAGGTGGAGCTTGCGGCGAGCCGAGATCCGGCCACTGCACTCCAGCCTGGGAGACAGAGCAAGACTCTGTCTCCAAAAAAAAAAAAAAAAAAAAAAAAAAAAATTCACTTCTTACTGAAGGAAAGAAAATAAAAGTAATTAGAAAAAATATATGGGTAAGATTACCCATAACTAGTATTTAAACAAATCGAGGGTTCAAGATGGATTCCGCCTCTCCATGAAGAATAAATACCAACTAACTCCACTTCTTACTCCCCTAAGGGAGAAAACTGGTCAATTTGGCTTTGGTCTGACACCCTCACACTGTTGTGGCTTAGGTCTAACCATCTCGGCTCCGTCTGTTTCAGCTGCATTTACCAGCATCCCGCTCCTATTTCCTAACCTTCGACACCTTTTTTTTTTTTTTTTTGAGAAGGAGTCTCACTTTGTCTCCCAGGCTGGAGTGTGGTGGCGCAATCTCGGCTCACTGCAAGCTCCGCCTCTTGGGTTCACGCCATTCTCCTGCCTCAGCCTCCCGAGTAACTGGGACTACAGGCGCCCGCCACCACGCCCGGCTAGTTTTTTGTATTTCTAGTAGAGACGGGGTTTCACCATGTTAGCCAGGATGGTCTCGATCTCCTGACCTCGTGATCCACCCGCCTCGGCCTCCCAAAGTGCTGGGATTACAGGCGTGAGCCACTGCGCCCGGCCACCTTCGACACTTTTTTTTTTTTTGAGATGGAGTCTCGCTCTGTCGCCCAGGCTGGAGTGCAGTGGCCGGATCTCAGCTCACTGCAAGCTCCGCCTCCCGGGTTCACGCCATTCTTCTGCCTCAGCCTCCCGAGTAGCTGGGACTACAGGCGCCCGCCAGCTCGCCCGGCTAGTTTTTTGTATTTTTTAGTAGAGACGGGGTTTCACTGTGTTAGCCAGGATGGTCTTGATCTCCTGACCTTGTGATCCACCCGTCTCGGCCTCCCAAAGTGCTGGGATTACAGGCTTGAGCCACTGCGCCCGGCCCACCTTCGACACTTTTAATGTCCGTATTTCTACAGTCTGTTTCAAGGCTCTCTAGGCCTCTCCTGTTGTGATCCTCAGAACTCTTCCACCCTCTACTCATTACCTGATTCTAAAACTACTTCCGCATTTTTAGCTGTGTGTTACACCAGCACCCCACTCCTGGTACCACAATCCATATTTTTTTTTCTATTTTTTTGAGACAGAGTCTTGCCCTGTCACCTAGGCTGGAGTGCAGTGGTGCAATCTCCACTCACTGCTGCAACCTCTGCCTCCTGGATTCAAGCAATTCTCTGCCTCAGCCTCCCGAGTAGCTGGGATTACAGGCACCCGCCACCGTGCCTGGCTAATTTTTGTGTTTTTAGTAGAGACACGCTGGTCTTGAACTCCTGACCTCGTGATCCACCTGCCTCAGCCTCCCAAAGTGCAAGGATTACAGGCGTGAGCCACTGCGCCCGACCTCCATATTATTTTTCTAATGCTGCTGCCACAATTTACTAAAAGCTTAGCAGCTTAAAACATAGTTCTGTGGAAGTCCAGAAATCTGGTGGACTCGACCAGGTTCTCTGCTTAGGGTCTCATGGCTGAAATCACAGTGTTAGTGGCCGGGATCTTCTTAGGAGACTCTGGGGAAGAACCTGCTTCTGGGCTTGGTCAGGTGTTGGCAGAATCTGGCTGCTTGTGGCTGTTGGACTGAGGTTTCCTTGTGTGACCTCCTCCATCTTCAAGCCAACAATGAGACATCGAATCCTTTCTGTGCTTTGAATCTCCTTGTCTTCTGCGTTCCATTCCTGTTTTTTTTTTTTTTTTTTCCTGAGACGGAGTCTTGCTCTGTCGCCCAGGCTGGAGTGCAGTGGCTCCATCTCGGCTCACTGCAAGCTCCTCCTCCTAGGTTCATGCCATTCTCCTGCCTCAGCCTCCCAAGTAGCTGGGACTACACGCGCCTGCCACCACACCTGGATAATTTTTTTTTATTTTCAGTAAAGACGGGGCTTCACCGTGTTAGCCAGGATGGTCTCGATCTCCTGACCTCGTGATCCGCCCGCATCAGCCTCCCAAAGTGCTGGGATTATAGGCGTAAGCCACCGTGCCTGGCTTTTTTTTTTTTTTTTTTGAGATGGAGTCTTGCTCTGTCAGCCAGGCTGGAGTGCAGTGGCACAATCTCGACTCACTGCAACCTCTCCCTCTGGGATTGAAGCAATTCTCCTGCCTCAGCCTCCTGAGTAGCTGGGATTACAGGCACCCGCCACCACGCCCGGCTAATTTTTGTATTTTTAGTAGACATCGGGTTTCACCGTGTTGGCCAGGCTGATCTCGAACTCCTGGCCCCAGTGATCTCTCAGAACAGAAAGTGCAAACAGCTGGGGAACTCGCCTCCCGGGTTCCCGCTATTCTCCCACCTCAGCCTCCCAAAGTGCTGGGTTTATAGGCATAAGCCACTGCACCCGGCCCCATTTCTGCTCTTAAGGGCTCATGTGATTACCCTGGGCCCACCCAAATAAGATAGGCTCTATTTCAAGGTCAACTGATTAGTAGTGTCAATTCCATCTGTAAATTCCTTTTGTAGGGTGATGAGGGCTGAGGCTGGGACCATCTCAGCCACTTGGCCCCCAACCCCTCCATCCTTGGCCACCCCATCCTGTTCCCAGAGCTTGCCTGGCACAGCTGGCAGCCGTGGATGAGCTGAAGGTAGGAGTTTGGTGCTGGGGGTAGGAACACCTGTGCTAGGGGCAGCCGCACCTTAGGAGGATCCCAAGACCCTCCCCGCAGGCTCACCTCGGCCGCCCTGCGGTGGTCGTCACCGTTGCCCAGCATGCGTGCGTCCACACCCAGACAGCGGAGGCTCCGTGCCAGCCCCTGCAGCATGTTGTCACATACCACGCGGAAGGCCCTGGCAGGGACCTGAGGGGCGGTGCCCTCAGCCACAGCCACAGCCACAGGGACCTGCGGTGAAGCCCTGGTCAGCAGTTCCATGGTCACCCCACCCAGCCCCTCACAGCCTCAGAGAGTGAGGGCCCTGAGCCACAGCCACAGGGACCTGCGGTGAAGCCCCTGGTCAGCAGTTCCATGGTCACCCCACTCCAGCCCCTCACAGCCTCAGAGAAGAGGGCCCCTGAGGCTGTGTGGGCTGTGGCCTGTCTCTGTTTTGTATCCCTCTGTAAGAGGAGCACTGTGTGTGCTGTGCATAAAAACAGCAGAAATGCAGACAACATGCAACGAAACTATCCCTGGGGCTCCAGTGCTATGAGCTGGGGTCCCACGTGTGTGTCCGGGGGCGGCACGAGTCCCTACAGAGGGTGGGGGGATCACGGGGAGGGGGGGCTAGACAGAGGGGTGGGACTTGTGTGAGGGATAGAGTGCGGGTGGGGGATCACGGGGAGGGGCTGGGACAGAGGGGGTGGGGGATCACAGGAGGGCCTAGACAGAGGGGGATCACGGGAGGGATAGACAGAGCGGTGGATCGTGGGGAGGGGGCTAGACAGAGGGGTGGGGATCACGTGAGGGGGATAGACAGAGGGGTGGGGATCGCGGGGAGGGGGCTAGACAGAGGGGTGGGGATCGCGAGGGGGCTGGGGACAGAGGGGGTGGGGATCGCGGGAGGGGGCTAGACAGAGGGGTGGGGATCGCGGGGAGGGGGATAGGACAGAGGGGGTGGGATCGCGGGAGGGGGAAGCCTGTGACAGAGGGGTGGGATCGCGGGAGGGGGCTAGACAGAGGGGTGGGGATCGCGGGGAGGGGGATAGACAGAGGGGTGGGGATCGTGGGGAGGGGGCTAGACAGAGGAGGGTGGTGGATCGCGGGGAGGCAGGGGGCTAGACAGAGGGGTGGGGATCGCGGGGAGGGGGCCAGATGTGGGGTGGGGATCAAGGAGGGGGCTAGACAGAGGGGGTGGGGATCGCGGGAGGGGGATAGACAGAGGGGTGCAGGGATCGCGGGGAGGGGGGGCTAGACAGAGGGGGTGGGGATCGTGGGGAGGGGGGCTAGACAGAGTGGGTGGGATCGTGGGGAGGGGGCTAGACAGAGGGGTGGGGGATCACGGGAGGGGATAGAGGTATGGGGATCGCGGGGAGGGGCTAGACAGAGGGGGTGGGGATCGCGGGGAGGGGGATAGGACAGAGGGGTGGGGATCGCGGGGAGGGGCCAGACAGAGGGGTGGGGATCACGGGGAGGGGGCTAGGACAGAGGTGGGGATCACGGGGAGGGGGATAGAGGCATGGGGATCACGGGGGAGGGGGCCAGACAGAGGGGTGGATCACGGGGGAGGGGGCTGTGACAGATGTGGTGGGGATCACTGGGGAGTGGGGCCAGACAGAGGGGTGGGGATCACGGGGAGGGGGCTGGCCAGAGGGGGTGGGGATCACGGGGAGGGGGCTAGACAGAGGGGTGGGGATCATGGGGAGGGGGATAGAGGTATGGGGATCACGGGGAGGTAGGACAGAGGGGTGGGGATCACGGTGGGGAGGGGGCTAGACAGAGGGGGTGAGGATCACGGGGAGGGGGCTAGGGACAGAGGTGGGGATCACGAGGGGGCCTAGACAGAGGGGTGGGGATCACGGGGAGGGGGCTAGACAGAGGGGTGAGGATCACGGGGAGGGGGCTAGACAGAGGGGTGGGGATCACGGGGAGGGGGCTAGACAGAGGGGTGGGGATCACGGGGAGGGGGCTAGACAGAGAGGTGGGGATCATGGGGAGGGGGCTAGACAGAGGGGTGGGGATCACAGGGAGGGGGATAGATGCTGCCTTGGGCCATGGGAGGAGGTTGCCAGGCCCAGTGTCAGGAGGGGACTGGGGCACTCAGGGGCACGGCTGCCTCCTGAGCAGTGGCCCCCCAGGCAAGGGCAGCCCCCATGACAGTCATGCAGGTAGTTCATCAGGACTTTGCTCCCCTCTCACTCCATGGGCCGGGGGTCCAGTGTGGAGGAGAGGGGCCCCCTCCACACACTCTGACCCAGCGGCCTTGTCTCTGTGCAGGTCCTTGGTTTATGGACGGGGACCTCCTTCCCCAAGAATCCTGACAAACGGACCCTGCGGGGTATCACCCACCTGCCTGGGTGCGGCTGAGGCTGATGCTTTCTGCAAGCCAGGTGGCTTCTGAGGCCCTGGTCTCTCTGTGTGCCTGGGCCTCCGGCTCCCGGCCAGGTCCTCCGACAGGTGGAAGCGGGCAGGCTCTCTGCACAGGGCTTGGTGCACCTCCAGCAGGCAGTAGGCATCGGCAGCTGTGTGGGGAGTCGGCCTCAGCCTCCTGGGGCAGAGGGTGGGAGGGCCGTGGGGCATGAGGAGGGGTCAGTCCCACCTACCACCCCACACACCTGCATAGATGAGCTGCTCCTCACAGAGCGGCCTCCGGTCCCAGTTGGACAGCTGCTGCGTCTTGTCCAGGGCTGTGCCCAGCACCTGCTGCACCAGGAGGCTCAGGCCCCTCAGCCCCTTGGCCCTGTCCGTGCCTGAGGTTGGCATGTTTGCCACCCGCATCTGCTAAGACAGTGCCCTGCAGAGTGATGCGTCTGGAGGGAGCACAGCTCACCGAGCCCACTCACACCGGCTCTGTGGGACTCTGGAGGAGGCCCCGCCCCTCTCCACCAGCGGCCGTGAAGGAGAGACAGGGAGAAGGAGCAACACATCTGAGGGCAGGCTCCACGTGGGGGTCGCAGGCTGCAGGTTACTACACACCAGGGCCAGCTCCGGGGTTCACACCGTCACCTCCAGGGGCTCCCTCCCGTAGCTCCTCCAAGTGGAACCCAGGGCTCAGGTCCGAGGGAAGGTGCCCTCACACCAGATAAGGGTCTCACAGGGGCTCAGGGATGCCCGCGCCAGGAGGCTCTGCTCCCTCCCTGGGGACGCCAGATCCACCTCTGCCAGGCTCTGCTCGGGGGCCCTGGTGACTAAGGCTGAGCTGACAGGAATCCGGCAGGAGAAGCCCAGGGCCACTGGGAAGGTGTGGAGGGGCCCCAAGCAGCCCTCAAAACCCAGGCCCACTCGACGTCGTGTGAGCGGCTCAGTGGGTGCCCACCTGTCTGTGCACCAGCAGCAGGTCCACGCCACCCAGAATCTGCTTCTCCACATGGGCCAGGGCGGGGCAGGATGCGCCCAGTTTCTGCAGGTCCCCCACCATCCCGTAGCCTGTGGGCAGGAACCATCATGGGGGGGCGCCTGCAGGCAGGGACAGCACTGTCCCCGGACCCCAGGGTGCATCCAGCACCCTCCCGGGGGCGCACAGTGGGAAGGGTCAGGCAGAGGTGGGGGCTGCTTCCCTTCTGGACTGGGCAGGGGGCCCTGGGGCTTCACTCACCCAGCTTGGTGATAGAGGGGTCTGAGAGGAGCTGGGCCACCAGCCGGGAGAAGGCCTGGGCTCCCTGCCCTGTTGGTGGCTGCGAGAGTGCCAGGACGTCCAGAAGGAACACGCGGCCCTCCACGGCCACCTGCAGGAGTGACGGCCGAGGCCGGCCCCCAGCAACGAACACAGGTGTCCACTCCAGGTCTACACCAACTACTTGGTGGGGCTGTGAGCAGAAAGGGGCAGATGTGACCGTCAGGGCCAACTCGGTTCTGCAGCGACGGCAGCCTGGAGGGTCTGAGCAGCAATGTGAGCCTGGGCTTCAGGGAGACGTCCCTGCACCCCTGCATGCTTGTAGGGCTTGGGCTGTTGGGGGGCACTAAGGCCAGTGCCCCAGCTGCCCCTTGCTTTCTGTGGCTGGACCAGAGAGGGAGGCCTGGCCTAGTGCCAAAGGCAGTGCCCGTGTCAGGATGCACCCCCGTCTCGTGCCCCATCTGTAAAACGGGGATCCCACGGCACCTTCCACAGGCTGGCAGGACTGGGTAAATGCCAACACCCAGCACCCAGCACCCAGCGCCCAGCACCCAGCATCCTGGAGTCTCAGCAACACAGCGTGGGTGGCACCTTCCACAGGCTGGCAGGACTGGGTAAATGCCAGCACCCAGCACCCAGTGCCCAGCACCCAGCATCCTAGAGTCTCAGCAACACAGCGCGGGGAATGGCTGCCCTCACAGCAGCCCTGGGGCACCTGGCGAGCCCATGCCCAGAGGCCTTGCCTCTCTCTGAATGCCATGCTCCTGATGCTCTTCCAATGCCTGGCAGGGGGATCCCACCACCGGGCGCTGCCCCAGCGGCCAAGGGGCCCACCTGCAGGAGTGCACCCTCACATCTGGTCAGGTCTTCCCACGAGGCCAGGAGGTGGATGTTCTCCCTGGGGATGGGCAGCTGGTAGTAACGGTCCTTCACGTCCTTCACCTCCAGCCTCCAGTCAGCCTCAGCCGCCCTGGGAGGAGCAGAGCTGGTAGCGCCCCCATGTCCCTGGTCCCCCACTCACTCTGACCTCGGAGCAGGAGGGGAGCGTTCGGGGCATTTGGTGGGGGCATCTCGGGTCGTGGCTCCTCCTCCCACGCCGGCTCAGTCCAGCCCAGCGTGACCCCTGCTCCTGCCTCTCCTCCCAGTGGCTGCCCTCCCAGACCATAGGGCAGCCTGCTCCTCAGGGTCCCGCGTGGGTCGGGCTGGCCATGGATCTGGCTGCAGAGTCTGTGGGCTGGCAGCAGAGTAGGAGGGCTGGGCCCTGCTGTCTTGTCTGCTCTGTGTATAGCTGTGCTCTTTGTTTTGTCTTGATTTCTAATTCTCAAGCCACTGGCGTGCAGATTGGTGAGCTGTCGTCCCAAGGGTAAGAGCCATCCTGGGCGGAACCCACCCCTAGCTGGGGTCACCTGGCAGAGCTCACCTCCCCTGGAGCCTGAGCTGGCGGAGTTCCACAGCCACCGCAGCCGGCAGCCGCTCCTCGGGCAGTGAGAGGCCCATGGCACACCGGGCGGCTGTGACTGGGTCACCGTGGGAGACCAGCAGCTGAGACAGCTGCTCCTGAAGCCACGGGTTCTGCCCCACCAGGCCCTGTGGGGAGGGTGGCCGTGAGGATGGAGACGGGGATGTTGCTGTGCTACAGGGCTCTGCCCTGAGGGACCCCCATAGACCCCGACCTTGCAGACTGGCTCTCAGCACTGGGGGAGGAGGGGCAGCTGTCTACCCCAGGCCTGCAGTGCCTGTCCTGCCTAAGGTCAAGGTTCCACAGGACCAAAGCGGCTGATAGAGGTGCTGAGGCAAAGGCTGTCCACCCCAGTATAGCCCTGGCTGGCCCTCTGGGTCTCCAAGCCTGAGGTGAAGGCTGCCCACCTCTGCTCAGCCCTGGCTGGCCCCTCCTGGACTCCAAGCCTCCGCCGGCCCTCCTGCTCTCACCAGGCATCTGCCCCCACTCCGGGTCCCAGGAACCCAGGCGTGTTTTCTGGAGCACCTGCCCAGCCTGCCCCATCTCCACACTCCTCCTCTTGCCAGGGGAGCCCCTCTGCCCCTTCCCTTCCTCCTCACTGTGTGGGGTTTGGCTGGCAGGGCTTAGAAGGCTATTGGGCACCCATTCACCCACAGCCCAGGAGCAGACAGAGGGGTGCCCTCCGGGTGGCAGTGACCAAGGGGGTCCCGAGAATCCTCATCCTCACCAGGGTGAGCTCTCTCCCACCCTGCAGCCGCCTGTGGCAGCGCCCAGCCCAGGAGCAGAGGCACCCACAGGCCTGCAGGACCCTCGGCCCCCACCAGGAAATGCAGGGCCCAGCACGAGCGAGGGTCTCCCTCCCTGCACGGTCCCGGAGTCCATGGGTCTGGGATGGCCTTGGGTGTCAGGCGGGAAGGGAGGGGACCCGCCCGGGAGGCTGAGCTCCTGCACGACCTCCCGCCCCACGGCCTCGAGGAGGGTCCGCCTGCCCCGCTGGCTTCAGGCCCAGCAGCCCGAGGCTGCTTCCCCGGCGTGGGTTCCCACGTGGACGACAATACGTGGAAGCCGCCCGCATTCTTCAGGACGTCCGCTGCCCTTCCGGCCGGCTCCATGCTGGCACCGGCGGGGGGGCCCGGCCTTCCTCCTTCCGGCCTCGCCCAGGCGCCCCGCACCTCTCCGGTGACTCTCAGCCCCCACCCGACCCCACAGGCAGCTCCGCTGGGCCGATTCGGGTGGCACGGATGCTGCCGTCCGCCTGGAACGAGGCCCAGTCAGGCTCTACCGATGCCCTCAGCTCCCGCTCAGGCCTCCCAGGCCTGGGGACCCCGCACCTGCCTGCCAGGCACATGCCCCAACACGGGGTCGGGGTCAGCAGCCCTCGTGAAGGCCTCAGCTCTGCCTGCTTTTTTCAGGAGGCTCCGGGCCTGTGCCCCCAGGACAGCTGCCCAGGCAAGAGCACGAACTCACCTGCACGTGGTCAGCCCAGTTTTCCTGAGACAGGCTCTTCTGCAAGAGCAAACGGGAAGGGACAGTTGCCAGGCAGCTCCAGAGGCTGAACAGGGGCCTGGTGGGAGTTTTCCTTGACCCCTGGCAGGGTACATCCTTGGCAGAGCCCAGGTGCTCACCCACCGTGGTGCCATAGCCCAGAGCCAGGGCCCCACGGCCTCCCCTTCACCCAGGCCTGACCCAGCTCGCCCAGCTCTGGGGTGAGAAGCAGCTCCTGCTTGGGACATCGGTGCAAACCCACAGTGCGCAGTGAGTATCCCAGGCCAAAGTCTGAGGCTCAGGCCATGGCTGGCCGCCCCCAGGACCCCTTCCTGCTCACGAACCTCCACAAATCGCTTGTGGCACAGGTGCCGCAGGGCCGCCAGGCGCTGCCACATGGCCGCATTGGGACACAGCGCTGAAAGGAAAGGCCAGCTCAGCACTGTGGGCTCAGGGCAGCCTCACCACAGCCTCCTTCTGGGGCAGGCGGGAGACAGGCAGGGGGGCTGTGCCTGCCTCTTCACCACCCTCCACCTCTGCCCCGGACCCCACCCCCTCCCCACCGCTTGGGCCTCTGCTGGGGTCCACCCCACTCAGCCTGGGGGTCCCGCCAGCCCTGGGCTCTCCCTTGCATGTGTGCGGCGGGCCCTTTCATCTGGGCCTCCCTCTGGGGCCTCCCTGTCTTTCCTCAGGGAGGTTCCTTGCCGGCGCTGGCATCTGCGTGTGTGCCCTGCCCTTCTCTCACTGGCAGGGGAACCTCGTGGACAGAGCCGACGCTCACTGTGGGTCCCATGACTGGAGCTCCATGAGCGGCAGGGGCCCGAGGCCCACGCACGTCCAGTCTCCGTCAGCCTCCCCTCCATACTCCACCCCAGAGCCTGAGGGGGCCCCGGGGAGGGCACCACGGTCTGGCCGAGCCCCTCCCCCAAGGGCGTGGCAGCCAGTGGTGCTAACGGGCTGGCCAGTCCTCAGCGGGATGCCAACCGTTCAGGGCCCCGCCCACCCACGCCCAGAACAGAGCCACGGGGAGCCGGGCGACCATCTGTCCTGAGGCCCCTGCCTGGCTCTGGCCCAACCTCACCGAGGGTCCCTGTAACACACACTCTCAAGACACGTGGGTGCCCTTGCCAACACTTGCCTCCAACACCTGGGAGCACCCTGTGGTGAGGACCCCATCTGCAGGCTACAGTGGGGGTCTGTGCGGTTCACAGCAAGGCCAGGGACAAGGGCTAACCAGGGAGGCCAGCTTCCTGGAACACAGCCACCAGGGCACAAACTTCCAGCAGAGGCCTCGCCCAGGAATCTGCCACCTGCCCTGGGTCCAAGGGGGGATGAGGGCACCCACCTCCCACCTTCCTCCTTCCCGGAAACGAGGCCCCTGCTACCCTCGTACACTGGACACCCCTGGGGCCGCTACCTCTTTAAACCACGTGGCACCTCTGGGTAGCACCTACACAAAGCCCAATACACTTCTGAGAAAGGAGAAAGGAGGAAGGAAGGAGGAAGGAGAAAGGGAGGAAGGAGGAAGGGAGAAAGGAGGAAGGAAGGAGGAAGGAGAAAGGGAGGAAGGAGGAAGGAGAAAGGAGGAAGGAGGAAGGGAGAAAGGGAGGAAGGAGAAAGGAGGAAGGAGGAAGGAGAAAGGGAGGAAGAAGAAAGGAGGAAGCAGGAAGGGAGAAAGGGAGGAAGGAGACAGGAGGAAGGAGGAAGGAGAAAGGGAAGAAGGAGACAGGAGGAAGAAGGAAGGAGGAAGGGAGGAAGAAGAAAGGAGGAAGGAGGAAGGGAGGAAGGAGACAGGAGGAAGGAGGAAGAAGAAAGGGAGGAAGGAGACAGGAGGAAGGAGGAAGGGAGAAGTTACTCAGGGGCACAGCTGGGCAGCCCAGGTGTTGCTGCAAAGGCCCTTCCCTCAGGTCCAGACAGATGGGGGCAGCTTTCCTGACATTTCCATGCTTTTAGGCTTCATTTTGCCTGTGGGATACTGCGTCCAAAGGCTTCTGGATACAATACTGCATCAACAGAAGGGATTTGGGCTGTAACCATGCTGAGAACCTAGAAACACTGCAAAATCCAGATAAAACCCAAACTGCCAGCCAGGCGCCAGCCTGCACCCTCCTGAGATTCAAGGGCCCTGTGGATGGGGCCTCAGTGCATCTTCCTGGCCCTTGCAGGGGGTCCTGGGAACAAAGGGGACATGGCTTCCCTTGGTGTCCAATGACACAGGCAGGTGCGGCCATCAGCCTGTCCAGAGGGGTCTGGGAGGAGTGGCTGCGGAGTCCTGGGGACTTGGACTCAGCACTCACCCTCAGCTCTGCAGCCAGGCAGGAGGCAGGAAGCGCTCCCAGAGCCACCCTAGGTGGGCAGAGGAGCCCTCAGACCCGTGGGCTGCTCAGTGGCAGGGCCCAGGCCAGGCCCACCTCGCAGCCACTCTGGCATGAGCTGGGCAAGAGGCAGGGAGGGGCTCTCGGGGAAGGTTGGTCTTTGTTGGCACCTGAACAACGGGCAGCCCCAGTCACAGAACATGTCCCTGGCCACGCTTGGCGGCTCTCCCTGGCCTCCGGGGCAGAAATGCGGGGGGCTGGACTCACCCGGGGCTACGCCGTACCGCTCCTGCAGACGCAAGACCTGCCTGCTCAGCACCTTTGGACTCAGCTTCTCCAGGCTCAAGGAGGTCACCTCAGGGTACTGTCTGTGGAGAGAGAGAGGCCCAGCCCCTGTTGCTGTTTTAAGTTAATACGTTTTAAGATTTTTGTTTTCATCAAAGTCATACGCATGCATAGTTCAAACCTCAAGTGAGGTTTATAAGAAAATGCAGGTGTCACCCCTCGGCCCTGCCCACCCCATCCTTAGCACTTGCAGGTCGACACTGAAATGGTTGTGTATTTGCCTCCACGTTTCCGGGTAACATCCTTGGATTGTGATCTCTTGATTACTGACTTCTGGGTATTTGGTACTGACTTCTCCCCACGGAAGGCGGACTCCCAAAATAACAGTATTAGAGTTTTAGCTAAATCAGCACCTTCTAGCTGGTGATATTCTGGCTGCGTAACGGCCTCAACAGCTCAGCCTTCTGCTGCTTTCAGGGTTGATGCTTCTCTGGCTCTGTTGTCTCTCAGTTTCCCGTCCTGGTCCCTTGACACTTGGCTCCTCCTGCCCCTCCAGCCACTCTCTAGCTCCTGCCCTGCATGGTCCTGGGACTGACCCCCCCCATGCCCTGGTCCACACCCTCCGACCTCCAGGTAGTGGTGAAGCTCAGCTGCTGGGTGTTTCCCAAGATAAGGTCCACGGAGTATTTTTGGAGCTGTGCACCTCCAGGGTCTGGGCCCGCTGCACACCAGCTTGGGAGTTCAGTGGAGCCAGGACTTCTGGGTTGAGATAACGTTCCCTTAGCACAGGCAGGCTTTGCTCCCGGAACTGCTGTTGAGACCCCAGAACCCATTCCTCTTCCTGCCCCTCTGATGTGACCTGCTCTTCTGGAGGTTTTGAGGCTCTTCCATTTTCACTAGTGTTGAGAAATTTCATGATGATGTGTCCCCCCAGGGGGTCTCTCTCCACCCCCCTTCGGCCACTCCACAAACCTGCCAAGTCCGGTTCCCGTAGAGGCTCCCGTGGCCTCGCATCTGGAAACCCGTCAGCGACGAATTACTTAGGAATTTCCTTCCCTGCTCTCCCTTCTTCCTGGAATCCCCGTTATTTGTATGTTGGACCTTCTTGATGGCATCTCCAATTTTAAACATCTTTTCTCTGATTGTCCTTCTCTTTATGTATTTTGTACTACTTCTTGGAAGACAACTTCAAATTTATCTTCCAAACCTCCCACCGAGCTTTCATTTCTCATCCTGTCCTTCATCCACCAGGTTCTGTCCTACTGTCTGAAAGCTCTTTCTGTGGGAACCCCACCTCCACTTCACAGACACAGTATCTTCCAAAGATCCTGGTTACAGCGTTTGTGCTTTTAAGTGTTCTTTTGCTTCCTCCAAGCTCCAGCTTAGTGTGTGTACTAGTCAGGGTTCTCTAGGGGGACAGAACCCATAGGATATATATACATATATATAAGTAATATATATATAGATATATTTTATATCTATCTATCTATCTATCTATCTATCTATCTATCTATCTATCTATAGTGAGTTTATTAAGTATTAACTCATACAATCACGGGGTCCTAAAATAGGCCATCTGTAAGCTGAGGGGCAAGGAGAGCCAGCCCCAGTCTCAAAGCTGAAGAACTTGGAATCTGATGTTCAAGGGCAGGAGTCATCCAGCACGGGAGAAAGATGTAGGCTGGGAGGCCAGGCCCATCTCACCTTTTCACATTCTTCTGCCTGCTTTATATTCTAGCCTTGCTGGCAGCCGACTAGACGGTGCCCCCCAGATTGAGGGTGGGTCAGCCTCTCCCTGTCCACTCAGTCGAAGGTGAGTCTCCTTTGGCAACACCCTCACAGACACACCCAGGATCAATACTTTGCATCCTTCCATCCGATCAAGGTGACATGCAGTGTTAACCATCCCCGTGCGTTACTGTCAGCATACCTGTGGCTGGTGAGAGGCCCCACAACCCTGACTGCTCCTGCCCAACGCTGCCCTGCAGAGGAGCCACCTCCCTGTGTGCACGGTGTGGCCTGGCAGCCCTGGAAGGCCAGAGGTACTGTCGGCTGAGAAGTGTCTGTGCACCTCCAGCAAGGGTCTCACCTGTATCCTTCCGGTTTCAGCACGGAGCCCCAGCCCTGTCCTCAACCGTGCCACTCACAAAGGCCCCCTGGAGACCCTGTTTCCAGCCCAGCTTCTTGGAGGAATCTGGGCCTCCACTTCCTGTGCCTCCCTGAGGCTCCAAAGCCAACCGGCTTCTTGCATTTGCGGTTCCGCACTCTCAGGCCTCTGAGGACTGTCGCTGCCTGGACATCTGCCTTCCAGGTTCCAGCTCCCATCTCCCCTCTTACTCTCTTGAAATTTTTGTCTTCATTTTAAAGCAAAGAGGCAATAGATGCTTGTGTTTAAATGCCACTTTAAACTGTAAGTCCTACTTAAAACTTTTTAAAAAGTTAAATATATATATTTGACACTCTGTCCCTCAGGCTGGACTGCAGTGGTGTGATCAAGGCTCACTGCAGCCTCAACCGCCTGGCCTCAAGTGATCCTCCCACCTCAGCCCCCTGAGTAGCGAGACTATAGGCATGCACCACCATGGCTGGCTAATTTTCGTATTTTTTGTAGAGACAGGGTTTTGTCATGTTGCCCAGGCTGGTTTCAAACTCCTGGCCTCGAGTGATCCTCCCACTGCACCTGGCAAGTCCCACTTTTTTTTTTTTTTTTTTTTTTTTGAGACAGAGTCTCGCTCTGTTGCCCAGGCTGGAGTGAGTGGCACGATCTCGGCTCACTGCAAGCTCTGCCTCCCGGGTTCATGCCATTCTCCTGCCTCAGCCTCCCGAGTAGCTGGGACTGCAGGCGCTCGCCATCACGCCCGGCTAGTTTTTTGTATTTTTTTAGTGGAGACGGGGTTTCACCGTGTTAACCAGGATGGTCTCGATCTCTTGACCTCGTGATCCGCCCGTCTCGGCCTCCCAAAGTGCTGGGATTACAGGCTTGAGCCACCGCGCCCGGCAATTTTTTTTATTTTTAGTAGAGATGGGGTTTCACCGTGTTAGCCAGGATGGTCTTGATCTCCTGACCTCGTGATCCACCCGTCTTGGCCTCCCAAAGTGCTGGGATTACAGGCATGAGCCACCGCGCCCGGCCTAAGTCCTACTTTTTAAGATAAACTATTTACTGAGGGTATAAGTGACACATGGTAAGGTATGCCAATCATGGGTGCAAATGCACTGGTAAACCCACTGCCCAAATCTCAACATAGAACGTTCCAGGCCAGGTGCAGTGGCTCACGCCTGTAATCCCATCACCTTGGGAGGCTGAGGCGGGAGGATGGCTTGAACCCAGGAGGTTGAGGCTGCAGTGAGCTGTGATTGTGTCCTTGCACTCCAGCCTTGGTAACAGAGTGAGACCCTGTCTCTAAAGTAAAATTTAAATAAAAGACATTCCCGCACCCCAAAGTTTCTCCCGTGTCCATCTCTGTGTATCCCCATCCCACACTTCTCTGACTTCTATGGCCAGAGATGATTTGCCTGATTTTGAACTTGATACAAACGGAATGATAGAATAGGGACACTTCTGCCACTTTTGGATCTGGTTTCTGCCATGCAGTCTGTCCACGCTGCTGAGTGTGACGAGGTTCAGTCTCTCACAGCTGGGTTTGTGAACCGTGATCACTGCATCCACTCTGCTGCTCTGGGGACTAGAGCCGCTCCCAGGTTTCAGAGACAATGACTAAAGCTGCCACGACTGCGAGCTTTTGTGAATAATGAGCTCATTTCTCTTGGGCTAAGTGGACTTGTACAACATATGTCATAGGGTTGGCATATGTTTTTTTTGCCTTCGTAGAAACTGCTAAATAATCTTCTGAAGTGTCTGCGCCAGTGCACATCCCACCAGCAGTGTGTGAGAGTGCTGGTTGCTCCATGTCCTTGTCAACACTTGGTATGTTCAAATTTTAAATTTTAGCCTTTCTGATAGGAGGTAGTGGCATTTCGTTGTGGCTTCATTTGCATTTCCCTGATATTAATGGTGCTTAGCAACTTTTCCTACACTTATTGGCTATCTGGATATCCTCTTTTGTGATGTGCTTATTCAAGTCTTTTGCTCATTTAAAAACTTGGTTTGTCTTTTATTGTTTATTTGCTTTGTAGGTTTTTTTGCTTAAAAAATATTCTGGATAAGTCTTCTGTAAGATAGGTGCTGTAAATAATCTTCTCTTGGTCTAGAAGTTGCCTTATCATACTCTCAATGATGTCCTTTGATGTCCAGAAGGTATTAAGTCAAATTTGTCAATCTCTTATGTTATTCTTTTTTTTTTCTTTTTCTTTTTCTCTTTTTTTTTTTTTGAGATGGAGTCTCACTGTGTCACTCAGGCTGGTGTGCAATGGCACAATATTGGTTTACTGCAACCTCTGCCTCCCAGATTCAAGTGATTCTCCTGCCTCAGCCTCCTGAGTACCTGGAACTACAGGCGCCCGCCACCACGCCCAGCTAATTTTTGTATTTTTAGTAGAGACGGAATTTCGCTGTGTTTGCTAGGCTGGTCTCGAACTCCTGACCTCAAGTGATCCACCTGCCTCAACCTCCCAAAGTGCTGGGAATACAGGTGTGAGCCACTGCACCCAGTCTTTATTCTCAGTGATTTTATATCCTATTTGAGCAAGTTTTATTGAAAGTATAAAAACTACAATTGGCTTTTATAAGCTTACTTTGTAACCAGTGATCTTGCTAAATTTACTTATTAATTCTAATACTTTATTTGTAGATTTTTTGGTTTTTCTTCCCTACATATAAAAACATATCTACGGAGAAAATGACAGTTGTTTCTTTGTACCCGGTCTTTGTACTTATTTTCCTGCCTACCAAGGACCCTGGCATGGGTGAGCCACCGCATATAGTCACCGCACCCAGCTGACTATAGTTCTAAGAAGGCTTTTGCCTCAGAAATAGGGGACAGTTAGGCCGGGCGCGGTGGCTCACGCCTGTAATCCCAGCACTTTGGGAGGCCGAGACGGGCGGATCATGAGGTCAGGAGATCGAGACCATCCTGGCTAACACGGTGAAACCCCATCTCTACTAAAAATACAAAAATTAGCC